ACTTAAACACGAAGGCGCGCTATAAAAGGAGCCTTAGGTCCCACCGGACCATTTGTCAATCAACCGTCGTGTGCTGTAGAGCTCTTAGAGTCAAGTCAGCTTGAGCTAGAACTACTCCAAAGCAGTGAACAGCGGGCGCATTCCTCAAAATTTTTTTATGTCTTCATCACAGTACAAGAATTTTTGAGATTTGTATTTCCTTTCTCCAATGGAAACTGTCTTTATTTGTGGTGGTAAATTTGAGATCGAAGTAAGTGGTTTGCACGTTACCTCATGCCACCATGCTGGTGGAAGTAAACGATAGTTATCTCATTAGCTCTTTTTGTTCGTCTACTAGCATTTGAATTTGACCCGCACACGTCAAGGGTGAGTGACAAATGAGCCTAGGTCTTCCCAGGGAAGACTTCCTTATATAGCGCGCCTTCGTGTTTAAGGGAGAGGTAAGGGAAGAAATAAAGTCAAAAAGTTAAAACAGTTTAATGCTCTTAAAATCTGATAGGTATAGAACACAACCCATTTAATTGAATTTGCAGATGGCTTTTCGGTTTGTCACAGCAGCAATGCAAAGTTAGCTAATAAGTTATGCAAAAAATGCCGGAAATTGGGGTTTTCCCAGGGTGATCCTATATCTCCCAGGGAATTAGATATTTGACCTATTATTTTTACAAACTTGTTAACTCATGATACTTAGCATTTGAGCCAAGTTTGAGCGAAATCGGTGATTTGAGCGTTATCGCCCCTGCCCGGTTTTCTCGTGGACACGCTCTGAATTAAAGATGTTAGACATAAAATAAAATCACGTACACTGTTTTACCTTCGGTGACATTTTTGGCATATTTCAGAAATTCGTATGCTGGGTTATAATCACCTCCAACCTAAAGAAATTAATAACATGATATCAGAAAAAAAAATTGGAAAGGTAAAAAGTACAAAAAAGGATGTTCAACGTACTTCAATGAACACACCAAGAACAGCAAGGCCGTCAGATTCGGGAAGTGCAACACTTATGTTTGCATATTTTGTGTTGTAGCTGACAAAGTGTATCTGATCAAGAAAAAAGTAAAAACAAGCTTTTAGGCAATAACGTTAGAGTTGTAAATTAACCAGGATTCACAATTGGTCGAGTTTGATTTCTATTAAAGGATATTAAAACTTGACTCCAACATGAAAAACTTCCAACTTTAATTCTTTTCCTCATCAGAGCTCAAGATTTCACTTGCAGTTTTGGAATTCTCGAAAAACATGCTGTTGAGTTTGCTGATAGAAAATCTCTTCCTCTACAATTTATAATTGAAGCTGCACACGGAAGCCAAAAAGCGCAAATTTCACACCAACGGAAGGGAGGAGTGCACAGGTAAATGTTTAGTTTATTCTAGCTAGTATAAATTTTCCCCCTTTTCGCTTTGCTCGATCTCTTTACACGAATGGCTCCGTGTAAACAAAGGAAGAGGCTGCATACAGTGGTTAGATCATAAGTCTTTTATTTACCAACCTCAGCAGGGTATGCCTTTTCGTCCATAGTGTGTTCTGATCCCTTATCGTTACTTGACCCCCAGTGAAGGTGAAACTGCACGGTTTCAAATTCTCCTGTCAATCCCCCGCCGCTAACTTTGAAGTAACCCGCAGGGAGATTAACTACTAGACTATGGCCGTTGTTAACGAGGGTATACTCGTTTTCAGGCTTCACGCGGTAATTTTTGAGAACAAAAGAGGGCATCATTTGATATTTTGTTGCAGCCACATTTATGTTAATAGGTGATTGTTTCTTTCCGGTTGCACATGTACCGTTCCAATTTGCAGGGCCTGAAAAAACACAAATACGCTCATAAGCTAAGAGCCGCAACAGTTATCATTATATTATGGGAAATTCTAGACAATCATTTTAATTTGTTTATAGATGAGCTTGAGCTCGTGCGGAAAGTTGAGGATGTACCGCTTTTCTCAGTACTCTCGCTGGTCACGAGGTGCCTTCACCTTTAGCCAAAAGCAAAAGAACTTTGTTAATTACTTCAAAATTAGTTTCCCCAAAGTCCTTGCCACTAAGTTCCACTTGGTAATGCCATACTCAAAACACATGGAAAGTTCAGTTTTGCAAAAGTAAATTTAAATGAAATTGTCGGCCGTTCTGCGTGTGAGCTGGAATGTTTTCTATTCTGGCCCGACTTTCTCGAAGAGAGGTGGAGTCATGGAGACAAACAACTTGTTTGCAATCTCTTTAAAGCATATTCGACTTAAAAAATCCAGGAACAGGTCTTGAAAAAAAGGACGAGGCTAAATTTATTTGTGGATTGAGTTATTTTTACTGAACACTCGGATAACAGCGTAAAATCACTGCATACCAAATATTATTATATTATTATATTTTCAACCTCGGATATTGCATTTGGAGTGTTCTGATTGGTTCACTTAACCTCGGTTAGCAGCTCATATACCGAGCATTTCTCAAATTTAGAGTTAAAAAAAAAAAACCGGAACTAAGGGAAATAGCGTTAAAAAAATCTTACCGTTTGGGCCACCTACGACGTAGTCCCACTCTGAGAGGAAAAAAAAAATAAATGATGACAAAGATTTTATAAAGTGTAAGGTACAGTGCGTCAACGGGAATTCTGTGAAAATGTCCCCTCAAAAGTCAATAAGGATACAAATGCTGATTTCATATCCTCCACCGCGAACCTTGGAATTTTTTAGGAGTTACGGTTTTTTGGAAAGACTGAGTTTTAATCTAATTTTGTAATTCGCAGATTACTTTTGGACCCTCAAAGTCCTATTTAAGGAGTGAATTTCAAACACTGAGCAGATTTTTCTTCGCTAGCCAGCTACTGCACCACAGATTTCTGGAACAGACATCACCGTACTTGCAACACCTGAGTTTCTTGATATCACAAAGAAAACTTAAATAAAATTATATCCAGAGATTTGACATCTTTGTTTAACACATAATTAAAAATGTATGCAAATCCCAATCTTATTACTTTT